GTATCATCCAGTTCTGGATGTACGAAGTTCGGCACGGTTAGGATGGGAGGCCAAAGTCAGGCGGGTCTGTATGGTAGGCACATCGCGCGGATGCATCATGGAAGAGAGCTCTCAGAAGCAAAGCCCGTTGGTATAGCGGTAGAAGAGAGCTAGATCGTCGACGGTCCGCCGGTGCGAAAGGATCCCGAGACTGTCTGTTAGAGAAGACAGCATCGAGCATAAATAGTGCAGTCGGGGCGGCAGCACCCCAAACGTGTGAGCAATACTCGAGGCTAGGCCTTATCTGGGCCTTGAATAAAGTAAGAAGGTCATACGGAGAAAAGTACTTCTTAGCCCTAAACGAACAGCCTAGCTTTTTCCCAGCAGCTGCCGCTATTGACGAGATGTGTTCGTGCCAGATCAGGTCCTCGGTGATCTGAACTCCGACCAGCCGAAATGAACGGCTCTTTGGCAGAACTCGGCCATCCATCGAAAACGGATGAGCGGTAGCACGCTTTTTGTGCATCAAGGTACAGTACTGCGTTTTGAAAGTATTACACTGTACAAGGTTGTTGCATCCCGAAGCAGTTGATAACCTCCAGGTCTCTCGTCAGAGAGGAAGTCGTCGCTAGTCTTCTTTCTTCCAGCTCGGCGACGGAGATCGGATTGTTACTGTGAATTCCTGCATGTAGAGTACTGTCATCAGCGAAGCTGTGGATTAGGTCGATCGTGCAGGACAGGAGGTCGTTGATATGTAAGAGAACCAGTGTTGGATCCAAGATCGATCTCTGGGGAACACTCGCGTCGACATGAGCCTCACCATAAGACTGGAGAGTTTACTCCAGAACTGCGTGACGTAAGCTAGGAGGACCTCTGTGGATCGCTGATGCCGGAAACCATACTGTCTAAAGCTCGCGATTTATACACCTCTCCATCACCTTACTTATAACAGATAGCAGAGCTATAGGCCTGTAGTTGTAAGGGCCGACCTTAGACACTTTCTTAAGATGGTTAATCGGTGCAGTCTCTGAGATTTTTGTCTCCGCCAGGAAAAGCATGGCGGGACGATTGGATTGCAGGTAGTGACGAACAACATCAATGTTGCTATTAATCCTGAAGATGTTCGTAAAAGAAATTTTATCTTCGATGTTGTTCCCTTGAGTCCAATCTCCACCCGGACATTCCGAGAGTGGAGTGAGTTTACGTCCGGAGTACTCGAGAGATCCATCATTATTAGTTTCTTTGTTTTGGAAGATAACCGACTGCATAGCTTGGGTGAGGAAACATGCGGACATTTATAAGACACCCCGGGAAAAGCTAGCGGGTGGTATCGCCTCGGTCGACTGGTCCTTGTCTACCACCTTCTTTTTGCGTGATAATGATATTAAATAGACCTAAAGTGGCCCGTTGGCGGTCTTGTACTGCCACTCGGCAATCGGTACTGAGGTATTCCTTATCGCTTGTACAATGACTTGATCAGGAAGAAGTTGTAAACTGGATACAACAACTTCCGGAGCAAGCATTTTTCACTGTCCCGCTCATTAGGGGAGAACCTGCATCTTCTTAAAAATTGTCCTTTTAAACGCCTCAAACTTAACGGATATTTTGCGTGCTGCTTGACGAATTCTATGCCGAAGTTCATTGGCTGATCGAACTGGTTTTCCACAGACTTTATCTTTTAAACATCTCCAGAAAAAAAGGTTTGGCGAGCGTGAGGGTCACAAAATTTGTGCTAGCCAGCCAATCCATCTTCCAGGGAATATTTCATCAAGATACCCCTTACTGCACTAGTGCATAGTGTGCAGAGCACCCATCATTCTGTAACCACATCCTTCTTCTTGTCTCAAGAGGCACATCTTGCAATAGAATGGGTAGATGATGTTGCCAAAAATCTAAGTAAATTTAAGTTTTTAAGTTCATTTGCCGATTCAGTCTGGTACGTTTTTTTTCACAGTAATTAGTCAAGCTTTAGTAAAGGTTTTTGCATTGAAACCAAATGTTATAATTCAGTTTGTCTAGCACACTCTGTTGTATCAACCAACTATTAATGGTAGTCCAGGAATCAAAATCATAAGTTAGAAGTTCTTTATAGCCATAACAGGCAAACACTGAGCAAAAAGTACAGATTCTTTGAAAAAACTTAAAAGTGGCAATATCTCGAAAACTAGAAAACTTTTACTAAGGTCATGTTGATTTTATCTGATTCATCTGAAGCCAGTCTACCTCCTGTGTCAGACTGGTGTGTTATTTCTGAGACACCCTGTATGATATTCAGTCGTTTTCAAATACAGTGTACAACCTTTTCTGCTGCACTGATCTGTCATCATCAACTTGTAGCTTGTTTGTTGTTCGGTGTTCCCCCATATGGGGGATTCGTAACAGTTTGTAGAACTGTTTTAAAATCTTCAACATATTATTCTCTATTGCTGCCTGATCAGTGTTTCCTTTTACTTACTTGCGGGTATTGGCATGGCGAAAAATTTCTAAAATGGACACGTTATTTTGGATGTTACATGACATTACGAAAAACAATATCAATCGGTCTGTACTGTCTGCCTGAATTACCTTGGCCCCGTCATAACTTTTGACACGGTTACTATTCGGGTAATGGATTCATGCTTACGGCTATATTTTAGCGTAAAAGCCACCGTTGATGAATAAGGACATTTTTTAAAAAGGAGTGTGGGGTTGAGCGTTTCGAAGCTCCTTATCAATATTGTATAATCCTAGAGGAAACATTTGTATGCTTATATAAATTTACTTTAAAAATTGTGCACTGGCAGGCTATAACAGTTATAAAAATTGAGCGTTTTCGTACATTGAATTGCTTATAATGCAACAGTTAATCGTCGAAACGTCATAGTACCCAAAATGAGCTTTGCAATAAAGTGTTAATTGACCCTTCATTCCTTTTAAAATATTTTGAAAATCGCACCTAACCACCGTCTTGAACTCTTCAACTGCAACTTTTAAGATGGAACATAGTTTTAACAAATGACTGACTCGACTCGTTACCAAAAAATAATTTGGGGGGGCAAAGGTTTTTTTAAAAGTGTTATATAAACTAGATTCTTTTTCACTAGAGATTGTAACCTGTCGAAAAAGTTTACCTTATATGGAAAAAAAATAGTATCTCCAAACATAAAGGATTGTAGCAATGAATTCCAAACTACACACGTAACTGATATTTAGATACGATAAACATAATGCTTGTTTCGAAAGTTTGTCTGACTTGAACTTGTCAGTTCACATGTATTATTTGAACTTCAATTATAACTTAGGTAGTTTGATGCCGCCTCTCAGGTTACACTAGTAATGTACTAGTGACCTTTTCGAAAGCATCGCAATACATAGAATAAGTATTTTCTAAGAAACTGTTGAAATTTGTAGAATAATTTATTCGCTGTGTGCATTTTCGTAGAGGCGCATTTGTGATGCAACATAAATAACTATTTTATTGCGCATTAATATCCTAATACTTCTATTATATAATATGCTAATAAATAATGGCATCAAATAGGTTTACTCTGCACTTACTTATTACCGACTCTAGCGGCAGTTACCGTCCATTTGGCAATGTTGTCGCTTTCCATATAGTCACAAGCAGCAGCGTTCACCAAAGCACCGCCGCAGTACGAGCAGAACAGTCAAGCAGACCGTTACGTCGGGCACTGAGCCCAGATAGCAGAAGGAGACGCGTGTCGTAAAATTTTTTAAAGACAAATGTACGGAGAAACCTATGTGTGAAATATGGCTAATAGGTGTGTAGTATAAATATATTAATATCAAAAAATTGAGATATACGTTTCCCCACTCCCTATCAACCCCCCAACTCCTAATTTTTTTTACCCGTAAAAATTCTTCAAAAATAATCAGGATCCCATGAAACGTGAAAAAGTGTCATTTGAGCGATTTATATTTTTTCATTTTTGGCCTTTTTCTCTGTCGCTACAGATTTTCATTACTTATATAGTATTTATGTTCTTAGCGTAGTAGTAACTTTGTGTAAAAGTGTCATCGAAAACAAAACCTAGCGCTAATTTCCAAGTCGAAGAAGGGCCAATGATTACCATACAGACCGATAGAAATGAGAGACATGGTTTTTCGTGGTGTGCAAATTGTTCGCGATTACAATAGTTCATCTCCCGGTGGAGTCGGAAGTAAAAGCGTAATATTGGACACAAAACACGTTCTTTTATATTTACCGTTTCTGCTTTTAAATTTTCTTTATCAGCCGCTGCCGTGAGTTGCTTCTAAAAAAACACAAAGATCACGCTCTTGATGCGGTACTGCTTGGTCGGACATTCCCCACTAATTTACCGTCTGCGTGCTCACCGAAAGTGAAGTACGGCTGATAAGTGTACGACCTCCTGGATGATTCAACTCGCTGAACAAGTCATCTTCCGCACACGGCGGTACATACAGTAGTAATTTAAATTTTTCCCGCGTGTGTGATTTTCTGGTCGGTGCGGCCAGCGATTGTTCTTTGGTTGCTTCTTTCGTAGAAGTGCAGGACCGTAGTCTGAGAGGAGTGAGTATGGGGACAGTTAAATGCTTTTAAGGTCGAATGCGACTCTAGTACGCTCGTTCAGTCTTGTGCCAAGCGAAATTGTAGAAATCTCTATAGGCCTTTGTCCATCGTATCAACACCTATGATCACACTGGGATCCATACTCATAGCAAAAGGCTATATGTAGTTCTAATCTGCATTTTCAGCAAACCACTTTGGATTAGAGCTATAAAAGCTTTACATGTCTAGTACATTTTCTGCTTATATTCTGCCTTGATGTTGTCATTTTCCAGTTGTACACGCGTTTGTTTAATTCCATTTCTACGTAGTAGCAGTAGAAGTGATCTGACCCTTTTTGCCGACCCCGTAGTACTAACACTGTACTACACGACGAGCTATCTACTGGTACCTGATATAATAAACCAGCTCCATTGGTGAGATGTACCTGTTAATATTGAACCACGTTCGTGATACCAGTGTAGACAACACAACACCTATGGCAAGGAATTAACTTCCGAGGCGGAGATTCGAACCTGCGACACTCGGGTTGCTAGCTCGATGCTCTGACCACCGAGCTACCGAGGCTCCCTATTCCATTTCTATACATCAATAATTAGTTTAGATAGTTTTCATGGACATTACTACGCCATTAAATTAAATTTTGGAAAGGATCTGCGTCTGATTTGAGTTAAACGTAGATCATTTGATCACGTATTTATATAACATCCTCATGGCACTAAGACTCTGCATACCTGTGTAACTAGTCGCCAAAGGGCACTGATGATTATAGTGTGTGCTTCTGTATCTATTGATCCACCTCGTAAGCAAACTTTTCACATTTTTATATGCGTTCTTACATCATAGAGGTTATTTGATAGCGCCGCAAAGTGTGACTAAATTATAGAAATTTGTTAAAAATGTCGGTTTCAAGTTTGGTTGATTTTCCGACGTGCAAATTGAAAACTAGATATACAAAAATGTTATTATTATTGATAGGTGTCCAGGAAAACGTGGAAATATTCCTAGGGCATAAAGTATAAAACAAAAATAATACCTATAAGCTTAGGTCTTGAAATGTCATGTTACCGAGACACAGGTTGTTGAAATTGTAGTTTAGAAATGGAAAAATATAGTTTCAGAATAAATTAAGGTACTGATCTAACATTTTTGTACCTGTAGTACTGAGATCATAACTAATGCTCGTGTCTGATACTACATTATTGGCGTAGAAATTGAGAAGATTTGACGCGTATAGAGGAAAAAAAATGGTGTCAAGTAGGTTAACACACAAACTAGACCCTCTGAGAAAAAAACTTAGTCAAATAGGTCCATACAATTAGTTTATAGACATTTTTCCTGCCCTACCAGTATTGCATCGGGAAACGTTGCCTCTCTCTACGAGGGATGTCTTTTAAGTTTTGCATATAGAAATATAGTAAGCCGCGCGGATCGAACGTCAGTACTGAATCTTAACCTCACTCTTTAGTAAACTTAAATTGAAAGTTTCACAACAATACGTGGTGTTAGATATACATGTGACATATCGCGAGACTGAGGCGTCCTTGGAGATCTCAAAGACCTCAATTCAAAATATTTTACATGAAGAATCAGGAGTAAGAAAATTAGTTTCTCGTTGGATACCCCTCCTGTTGACTGAAGAACAGAAAGCAGCCAGGGTTGATTGGTGTCAAAAAACGCTTGACCGTTTCAATTCCGGAAATTCAAAAAATGTGTACAGCATTGTTAGTGGTGATGTATCGTGGATTTACTGTTATGAACCAGAAAACAAACGACAGTCGGCTGTTTGGGTGTTCCAAGGTGAAAAAAGGCCAACAAAAGTCATCCGTTCTCGAAGTGTTTCGAAAAAGATGGTCGCGACATTTGTGTCAAAAGCGGGTCATATTGCAACAATTCCTCTTAATGAGCAAAGAACTGTTACTGCGGATTGGTATACCACCATTTGTTTGCCAAAAGTCATCATCGAGCTTCGAAAAATCAACCCCGAAAGAAACATCATCCTCCACCAAGACAATGCAAGCTCGGACACAGCCCAAAAACAAGGCAGTATTTAACGGAAGAAAACGAATTATTAGACCATCCTCCATATAGTCCCGATCTAAGTCCTAACGATTTCTTTACTTTCCCGAAAATTAAAAACAGACTAGGTGGTCAAAGGTTTCAATCACCAGAAGAAGCAGTAGACGCATTCAAAAATGCCGCTTTGGATCTGCCAGCAAACGAGTGGGATAAGTGCTTCGAAAATTGGTTCGAGCGCATGCAGATATGTATTAATCTTCGTGGAGAATACTTCGAAAAACAATAAAGTTATTTAAAACTAACCTACCGTGTTGTTTTATCTCCATACGCAAAACTTAAAAGACATCCCTCGTATATCTATCTCAGGCAGATGTGGTATCGTGGTAGCGCGGTAACTCCATACCAGAACACTAATCACGGACGGCGCATGAACCCAGCAGCCGCAGAAGATAGGTACGCAATCCGTCTCCCTAGACTATTTTTCCGTGCTAATGTAAAGAGAAATCTATGATGTGTGAAATATGTCTAACAGATGCGTGAAATCACCAATGTTGGGAGGTTATGAATGTACCAGCATCAAACAATTGACATAAACGCTCCCCACCTCCTTACAACCCCCATACCCAAGTTTTTCAATTCTAAAATTGTTTTTGAAACGTCCGAAAACGAAGTTTAGGCGATGTTTACTTTTTTGTTGTAGGCCTTTTTTTCTGCCGCCACTGGACCGATTTCCAAAAACGACAAAGCTTTTGCGTACTTGGCATTGTAATAATATTGTGAAAAAGTTTCATCGAAATCCGAGCGGGACTTTTCAAGCTATAGGTGGTTATAAGATTAGAGGACAGATAAACAGACAGACCGACAGAAATGAGTGACATGGTTTTTTGTGATGTACATGTCATATGACATCCAAAAAACATTATGTCTCATTTTCGAAAATTTTCGCGATTATAGTAGGCGTGGAAAGTAAAAAGGAAATTATTTCTGTCAATGACTTTTTTGAAATATCTATCGCATTTGGTGTTCAATTTGAGGCAATAGTTGTATACAAAATTTAACTCGTTGTACTTTGGAAGTATGCTAATGTTAGTGATGTTTGGCATTGAAAATTCGGCTGTCCCATTACAAAACACAGTAATTGCATGCTTACACCAATGGAGAAAAATCAGTTTTTCTAAAATGTATTAGCCTCAAGAAATTATTAAAGAAAATCGATCAAAAACTTCACGATGTGTTAGATAACCTCTATTCGCGTTTTTCTTTATATAATTGAATGGAAAATCTGCCTTGGAAAAAGATCGGCAGTCAAAAAACTAATTTTTCATAGGCTTGAAAAATTAATAAAACAAATTATTCCATTACAAAACACAGTAACTGCCTTTGCTATGTTTTGTGATGATTACATACCTAAAAGATACTCCGTTATACAGAACAGTGAGCGCTGCTTCGTGTTTTGCAAAAAATAAATTTGAAATATACGATAAACACATCTTTAACAAAATATAAAATGAAAAAGTACCTACTGTGATATAATATGAAACTAACCAAGCAGACAGTATAGATAAATATGTACTTTAAACAAAAAAGAATAATATTAAAAAAATGACGAAAGAAACGAACTAATCACATACATAGGTTTGGTGAAAACTAAGTTAAAGAAACGCGATAAGCAATAGCACCGATAGATTCTATTCAAATGTCGGAATCTACGACATACATTTGCTCATGGTCCACCAAATCTTAAGACGTTTCTGAGTCTGGTAGTGTTTGCCAAAACAGATTTCGGTTTTCCGGCATTAATGGAACTTTTTAAAATAACCATTTTTTGTAAATCCATAGAGTATATACGTTCCGTGAAACTTGTTATTTCGGTAGAGTTTTTTTTTATATTCTAGATTTGCCTTTTCTGCTTTATCACGGTGGAAATTTAGCTGATATTGAATTTTATCGTCTTCTTTATTTTGTGTGTTCTTCAACATTTTGCACCCTTCACAGATATCAGATATGGGTTGGCAAAGTGAAATGTTTATTTTCTTCAAAACATGATGGCATACTTCGATTTTGCAAACGGATGAATTTTTTTTTTTTTTTTTTTTTTTTTTTTTTAACGAGGGGGGAATGCATTTACGCACCATACCATAGCACGAGCTACGGCGTGTGTGGGGCTCCAGGGTCTTGAGGAGATCACCTAATACCCACTAAACCCTAAACCTCCGCGTGGCCCGACTCATCAGCGTCTCGGTAGGCCATGTGTTGTGCGTGACCTGCGGTCTGCTACAACGTCTCCTCATGTGTTTCAGTCTCTGGGAACGCCGGGTTGGTTCCCTTTACCTCGCACATTCTATCGATGTCGTTAAGCGATCATCGATAGAGGGTCTGCTAGTTTCTCTTGAAACTCTTGTTTTCGAAAAATCAAGAGTTTCAAGTCCTCTTACCAATATGTTGTTCCTGGTCCTGGTCCTGAAGGGTCCTGGTCCTGGTGGGTCCTGGTCGTGGCGGGTCCTGGTCCTGGTTGGTCCTGGTCCCGGTGGTTCCTGGTCCTGCATCCACGCCGTGGGGGGGGGGGGGGAGCAACCGCGAGTTCTCCTAGTCTCCTAGTCGAGGTTCCAGTTAGCGGGTGCCAACTGGGACCTCGGTCTGGGGTACCTGGTTCTGCGGTTGCGAGGCCTCTCGTCCGGATCGTAGTCCATGAGGAATCGTAGCTGCTCGTTCGGGTGGTCCTGAGCTTTCTCGAAGGTCTTCTCCGCTTTCTTCCTCATGTACTCGTGGATGGTATCCCAATGCAGGTCTCTACGCAAGGTTGAGTTCCTTACGTAGGAAGGTGCATTGGTGGCGATCCGGAGTAGCTTCATCTCTAGAGCAGCAAGTCGCTTGCGGTAGCTGGGGGCAGCGTACCCCCAGACCGCGGAGGCGTAAGCGAGCTGAGGTCTGGCGATGGCCTTGATCAGCCGTAGCTTGGTCGCTAGCGGCATCTGGCTGTGTCTACCCAGTAATGGATAGAGTTGAGCCATGGCTGCTCTGGTTTTTGCGATGACAGCTTCTATGTACGCTTTCCAGGTGAGGGACTTGTCAAAAACGATCCCCAGATATTTGACATTGTCGCTCCACTGGATATCTTCATCGAAGATGGATGCTTCGAGAGGTCTTGCAATCCTTCTTCGTTGAATGAAGATTGCCTGCGTCTTCTGGACGTTGATGCGGATTTTCCATTTCATGCACCAGTCCTGAATTTGGTCCAGTTCATCCTGTAGTCTCCTACGGATGATCTCGGGTCGTCTATGCTTGGCGGCTATAGCAGTGTCGTCTGCATATAGGGCCAGCATTGTGTCAGCTGTCTTCGGCACATCGTAAGTATAGATGTTGTAGAGCAGGGGGGCTAAGGCTGACCCCTGGGGCACGCCTGCTTCCAGCTGTCGTCTTGTTGAATGGCATGTACCAATCTTCACCGTGAACCATCTTTGTGTTAGATAGCTCTGGATTAGTTGGCACATGTTCGCATCGATTCCGGCGGCTTCCATTTTGGCGATGAGTCCATCGTGCCAAACTCG